CAGGCTGACCAAGCCCGCGGCAACCGAAGCTCCCAGCCTTTCCTTTTTTTGTTTTGTTTTTTTATTCGCTCCAGCTCTGTGGCCATGGCGACTGAAAGCAGGTATCTGGGGTTTATTTACCTTCTATAATTGAAAATTTGTTGCCTTGAGAGGAGGCAGCAGCCGGCCTGGAAGCTTGACTTCTTCCATTGCCGGGGCAACCAAGCCTCCTGCTTGCTCCAATTCCGTGGCTGCCGGCCACCATTTTGGTTCAGTTAATTTGCATATAGTCACTCTGATTGGCTGGTGGGCGTGGCTTGGGAATGTAGCAAAAGTACAGTCAATTAGTATGTTTGTCTATTATTAGGTAAGATGTTTAAAAGAGTATCTTCCTGCCCTGGCTTATGTGCTCAGTGGTTACAGTGTCAGCCAGTGCACCAAACGGTCATGGGTTTGATTCCCAGTCAAGGGCAAGTACTTGGGTTGCAGGGTCCTTCCCCAGCGGGGTTTGCAGGGGGCAACAAATCAATGTGTCTCATATCGATGTATCTTTCTTGCCCTCTCCCTCTCTCTCCCCCCTACTCCCTCCCACCCTTCCACTCTATTGAAAAGAAATGGGAAAACATCCTTGGGTGAGGAGTAACAAAAATAAATTTTTTAAAAAGTATCTTCCAATGATATTAACATTTAAATAAAGAGAATTTGAGAATAAAAAAATACAAGATTCATACAGCTGTGGCATACATAAGTTAAAAAGCTGGAAGAAAATACATCAAAATGTTAGTAGGATTGCCTCCGCAGCCTGAATTATTGTGCAACTTCTTTTGTCATATTGGTTCAATTTTTGTTCAAATGTTTTATGAGTTTTACCTTTACAACTATTTTTTTTTTTTTTAGTTTTTAGTTTTGGGTTCCGAAACCCTGAGGGACGTTGAGATAGTACGCCAGCCCCTGTCACTGGGCAGAAGCTCGAATCGTATTTTCCTCACAAATGTTCAGCTTCTCCACCAGTCACTGCAGCTCCCTCTTTCCCCTCTTAATCCTCCAATGTCACTTCCCAGATTCCTGGCCGATATATTCCTTGGGGATATTTAATGAGGTCCTTCCCCTGACACTGTTACAGTATCGTCACCCCACCTTACCCTCCCTTACATACAAGGTCCTCTCCCCCCTACACACAGATCCTCTCCCCCTTACACACACTGGTCCTTTCCCCCTTACACACAGGTCCTCTCCCCCCTCCACACACAGGTCCTCTCCCCTTTGCACACAGGTCCTCTCCCCCGCTACACACACAGGTCCTCCCCCCCCTACACACAGGTCCTCTCCGCCCTACACACAGGTGCTCTCCCCCCTTCCACACAGGTCCTCTCCCCCGCTACACACACAGGTCCTCCCCCCCCTACACACAGGTCCTCTCCGCCCTACACACAGGTGCTCTCCCCCCTTCCACACAGGTCCTCTCCCCCGCTACACACACAGGTCCTCCCCCCCCTACACACAGGTCCTCTCCGCCCTACACACAGGTGCTCTCCCCCCTTCCACACAGGTCCTCTCCCCCGCTACACACACAGGTCCTCCCCCCCCTACACACAGGTCCTCTCCGCCCTACACACAGGTGCTCTCCCCCCTTCCACACAGGTCCTCTCCCCCGCTACACACACAGGTCCTCCCCCCCCTACACACAGGTCCTCTCCGCCCTACACACAGGTGCTCTCCCCCCTTCCACACAGGTCCTCTCCCCCGCTACACACACAGGTCCTCCCCCCCCTACACACAGGTCCTCTCCGCCCTACACACAGGTGCTCTCCCCCCTTCCACACAGGTCCTCTCCCCCGCTACACACACAGGTCCTCCCCCCCCTACACACAGGTCCTCTCCGCCCTACACACAGGTGCTCTCCCCCCTTCCACACAGGTCCTCTCCCCCGCTACACACACAGGTCCTCCCCCCCCTACACACAGGTCCTCTCCGCCCTACACACAGGTGCTCTCCCCCCTTCCACACAGGTCCTCTCCCCCGCTACACACACAGGTCCTCCCCCCCCTACACACAGGTCCTCTCCGCCCTACACACAGGTGCTCTCCCCCCTTCCACACAGGTCCTCTCCCCCGCTACACACACAGGTCCTCCCCCCCCTACACACAGGTCCTCTCCGCCCTACACACAGGTGCTCTCCCCCCTTCCACACAGGTCCTCTCCCCCTTACACACAGGTCCTCTCCCCCTTATACACAGGTCCTCTCCCCCTTACACACAAGTCCCCTCCCCGAAGGACTCTGAGAGGATACTGTGCTGGACCCCATGCCTCTCGCCTACCCCTGTAACCTTTGTGCCTTTCATGACACCACCTCCTTTTGCAGTTTTTGACTGTTTTCGCAGACATGTGGAGTTCCTACTCAGATTACTAAGAATTACCAGTCTGCCCTGGCCGCTGTGGCTCAGTGGATAGAGCGCTGGCCTGTGGACTGAAGGGTCCCAGGTTCAATTATAGTCCAGAGCACATGCTCAGGTTGTGGACTCTGTCCCCAGGGTGGGGCATGCAAGAGGCAGCGGATCAATGATTCTCTCATCATTGATGTTTCTCTCTTCCTTTCACTTCCTCTCTAAAATCAATAGAAATATATTTTACCAGTAATTAAAAAAAAGAATTACTAATCTTCTTGTTCATTTTATTTCCTATACTTCCACTTTCTTTCCTCTCGTCTTCAACTTCTATCCAACCCTGAGAGCCTATAGCCCAGAACCGAACATCACACGCCCTGAAAACATTAACCACAGTACATCAACTGAATGATGACCTGCTAGATGCTAGTGTTTTCAGGGCCTCTCTATTTTAATTCTCACACAGACAAGAAAAGGGGACATTACTGTCCTTATTTTGGAGCTGAATAAACTGTGATGTAGAGCAAGTAAGAAGCACATCAGGGGTCACCCAGCTGTAAAACTGATGAGCCGATGTTTGACCTCTGGCCTGTGAGCCCCAGTTCTTTCTATTGCAGTCAGCCCTCATGTCAGGGTTCCCCTCTCAGCCACCAAGTGCGTCCCCTGCCCACGCCCTGCCCTGTCTGATGTAGTCCGCAGTGTGTGAGGGTTGTGCATGTTTTCATGTTGGGATAAGAGTCTTCCTTGTGGAGGCTTTCTGTACTGCATAGCTCTTGCTGTTTAGAAACATATATGCCCGGCCTTGATCATGGGGAACCCAGGTTTCTTCTCCAGAGAGGGCCCAGCTCACACCATTGGGCAAGAAACAGATCCATGGGACCAGCTTTTCATGATCTCAGCTTGAACGGAGAGCTCAGATAACAACTGTTAAATAACATGTAAGAATATCATGACAACTTAATTTTATCATACTTCACTTTAGAAATTGGATTACTGTAATCAGTCCCTTTTAAAGACTTTGACATAAGCTACTTAAATTTGTTTAGTGAGGGAACATATAACCTTTAATTGTCCTTAGTTTAAGGAAAGCAGGGTTTTCTAGATTTAAGAGATTAGCTTTAAAATAGTATTAAATAAATCCGAGAGGCAAGCACACTTCCTGCCCCATCCGCATTTCTGCAGTAAAACTCCGCCTCAAAGCTCCACCCCTGAAATCCCATCCTGCCTCAGTGAGCAGACATTCCTTTTGTGATTGGCTAAGTCAGAGGGAGGGGCCTTTGCTGTTTCCAGATGGCAGCCCCCAGGGGTGCGGCAAGCCATGTGGCCAACATGGCGGCTGCCAAGTCAGGCAGCTCAACATTGTGGCTGTCTAAACTGTTCTCTGACAGAAAAGATGATTTCCTTATTTTCACAATAAACAAGGGAAGAGCAAACCAAAATCCCTAAAAGATAGATGGCCAACATTATATTGCAGATGAACAGAAATCCCATTAGCTGTTTATACCTTTTATAATTATCTTAAAGAATATCAATTAAATTTAAACTGGGTTTTGTATTAAAAATTTCAGTTGAGATCACAAAATTAATCCTAAAAAAAAAAGAAACATGTATGGAACAAAGGTTTAAAATTAAAACGTGAAATTACTTACATGCTGGGCTTCACTCTGGCTTTTTAATGAAGGCTTGAACCCTTTCTGTCTTACTTTTTTTTTTAATATGTATTTTCCTTTTTATATATTTTTATTGATTTCAGAGTGGAACAGAGCGGTAGAAAGAGATAGAAACATCAATGATGAGAGAAAATCACTGATTGGCTGTCTCCTGCATGCCCTCTACTGGGGATTGAGCCCACAACCTGGACCTGTGCCCTTGACTAGAATCGAACCCGGGACCCTTCAGTCCGCAGGCCATCACTATTCACTGAGATGCTAAACCATCTAGGGCAGGAGAATCTCTCTGTAACAAATCCTCTCAATTGTTTCACAAACACAATTCTAATTCAGTTGTACGTTCTCGACACTTCTGGCCGTGATTCTTTGTGCCAGGAAAAGGAAACAGGAAAGTTGCAAAGCTATTTCTGTTTTGCCTCCACATTGGACCCAATCTGGAGCTCACAGAATTCCAGTGAAATAAAAGGTCACAGTGTCAATGCCTGCTCTGAGGCTTACCTCCTCCCCACAGGGACTCTCAGGATGCTCAGGCCAAGGACTGGTTACTAATGGGCTCTGTGAGTTGCCTCCATAATTAAAGTTGCCCTTCTACAATAGATGACGAGCACAGTGTACTAAAATAAATGCTAGGCTAACCAGGCAACAAAAGGAAAATAGTAAGCTTGTTTGTCCCTTCTTCTAGAACAGCAGTTCTCAACCTGTGGGTCGTGAACAATGAAAATACATCCTGCGTGTCAGATATTTACATTACGATTCATAACAGTAGCAACATTACAGTTACGAAGTAGCAACGAAAATAATTTTATGGTTGGGGGTCACCACAACATGAGGAACTGTATTAAAGGGTTGCGGCATTAGGAAGGTTGAGAACCAGTTGTTGCTACTTCATAACTAATGTTGCTACTGTCATGAATCCTAATGTAAATATCTGATATGCAGGATGTATTTTCATTGTTACAAATTGAACATAATTAAAGCATAGTGATTAATCACAAAAACAATATGTAATTATATATGTGTTTTCCTATAGTCTTACGCGACCCCTGTGAAAGGGTCGTTCGACCCCCAGGTTGAGAACCACTGCTCTAGAAGGTATGTGAGGTCAGGATAACAGACTTAGGAAAGACTCAGTTCTCACAAACAAATTTAGTGAGCATTTCTGCTCCTGCAGCTACAGGAGAGTTATATTCTAAAGGGTTTCAAATATAAAGTATTAGGTTTAAGGAAATAGATAACTATATTTAGATGGAATTTGAATATCTATACACAATTATTCATACCAATGTGAAAAGCATATGCATCATAACGTGTGTATGCAATGGTTGGTAGGGATTTAGTCTGTTCATTAGCTGCAATAGAATTGCTCTGCCACTATGTCAAATTCAGGTACCTGTAATGATTGTACATTTATTCGAAGCACGTAGCACACTGCCCAAATAATACATCTCCCAGAGTTTTGTATTAGAACGTACAGGAAGCTTGAAGACTCCAATACTTCATATGTATATGCAGGTCTAATGCCCATAATGAGCACAGTTGTGTTTCTCCAGAAAAATGCATGATTATTAACATCAGGTGGAGTAAACAAAGACTATAGCTTCACATCTGATTTTGCCACAAAACGAATGTAAATCAGGGCAGGTTTTCCACCAAATGAGTTGGAAACGAAATTTTTGATTTCCAGAGCATTGTGGATTTTGGAGTTACAGAGAAGGGTGTGTGGAACTGAAAGTATAAACATGAGAAAATATTTACAAATAGATGTTCTAGAAGTCAAATGAACAAATATGAGGCAACAGAATAGAAATGCTACTCAGAAATAGCATAGAAACCCCAGTGAGAACCCCCATAAAGGCCGCTATGGAAACCATGCCCCTATCACAGTGGGTCAGCTGATCCAGGGGCCCCAACATCCGATTCTGCTGCTGCAGAAGGGTAAGTCGGGCTGACGGGAAGCAAGCTCCTTAGCATATAGAGTCCACAAGTGTCTCCTAACTCCTGCCCTGTCTTCCCCAGCCGCCACTCTGAAATGCTAGGAGCCAACATGACAAGCAGAGCCCTTCAGATGCTTTCAGTATTAGCACACTTCGGTCAGCACAGAACATAAGAACTTATTGGTGCGTAACTACAAAAAGGCTAACATTGCTCCTAACGCTTTCAATTATTTCTGTGGTAATGACTCCATCATGAGGAAACTGCAGCTCAGGGGGCTTAAAGCAGCTGCCTGAGGACACACAACCAACAAAGAGAACGGGCTAGTCTCACTCAATGCCCAGCCGTGCTGGCTGGATGGCATTCCTTTAACTTGCTCACATACTCTCAAGTTCCATTCCAATAACACCAGGCTCTTTGTGCCTGCAAGTGTCCCCCTCAGCCTCCTCACCCCATGCCATCTTTACCTCATTAATAGCTTAAGTGTCACCTCCTCAGGGAGGCCCTCCCTGAATTCCTCAGCCTAGACCCCACACCTCACCCTGCTGGTGACTCTCATAGCACCTTGTATTCATCACTCAGTGGCAGTTAAAATAATTATGGAATTATTTATTTAACATCTGCCTTCCTGACCAGAACTTAAGCCCTGCAAAGACAGGGCCCCTATTGTGGTGCTCATTGCATTCCCTGTGTAAGAGCTGAACAGTGCCTGCTACCTAGTTAGAAGTTTAATAAAAGGTCACCAAAGAGGGGGAGGGGCCACGGTGGTGGTGTAGGTAAACTGATACTCCCATCCTCCCACAACATCAAAATTACAATTAGACCCCCAAACAGCCATCATTCAGAATCACCTGAAATCCAGCTGAATGGAAGCCCTACAACTAGAGAAGTAAAGAAGCACAGTGAGACTGGTAGGAGGGACGGAGGCGGGGAACAGGCTGGTCCGACACCCACATGTGGCATGTTTTTAATCGGGAGGGATATCTTGGCTGCAGAGGCCCCCTGTGAAGAAGAAGGGGTCCCAGCCCCACATTGAACCCCTCAGGCCAGGGTTCCAGAGCCTGGAAGAGACGTCCCCATAACTTTGGGCTGTACAAACCAGTGGGAATTGTGGCTGAATGACAGGCTGCTAGAGACCCAGGCAGTTCCTCTTAAAGGACCGGTGCACAGATTTACTCAGACTCGCTCCCTCTGAGCTCCAGCACTGGGGCAGCAGCTTGGAAAGATCCAGGGACATATGGGGAGGAACTAAATGGTCTGGAATCAGGGCAAGAACTGGGGGCAGCTTTCTCCCAGACAAAAGTGTTGACAGAGGCCATTGTTCCTTGCTAAGATCTCCCTGCCACAGTGCTGACAAGGAGTCGCTATATCTCGGTCTCCACCAACCTGTCCCACACTGTTCACTCAGCCCTGGTGATTCCCTGAGACCCCGCCCCACCCAATTTGCAGCCCCACCCAAGCTGTTTGCAATGGCTTTTCCATATGAATAGCCTGTTCTGGCTCAGGCTTCAGACTTTTCTAAAATCCCTTAAACAAGCAGCAGCTGGCCTCAGTGTGTCCCATACCTCTTGCTAAGTAGTTCCAGGCCCTGCACTAGCAGCAACCTGCCTTGGTTCATAGCTTGTCCTCTCCTGGGCACCTCCAAACCCAACACCAGTAGCAGCAAACTGCAGATTGCTCTGTAGCTTGTGCCGGCCCTAACCCTAACCCTACCACGTACATGAATGACGTTCTCAAGGAGCAGACTCAGTAATCACCAAAGCCCCACAGAAGCAAGTCCTCCTCAGGGGGAGTGGGGTCCCCTGCACAACAGCTCTTCCATTGTAGTCACAGCTGGTCTGCACAGCCAATTCGCCTGGTGGTCAAACCTTCCCAATTATGCCAACAGCAATCAAGGCTCAACTGCAACAGGACAGTGCACACAACCTACACCTAGAGTGCCCAGCTCAGGTGACTGTGGAGGCTCAGCTGCTGAGCCCTACTGGACACCTACTACAACAGGCCACTCTGCCAAGACTGGAAGACATAGCAGCTCTACCTAATACATAGAAACAAACACAGTGAAGCAACCAATATGTGAAGACAAACATGTCACAAATGAAAGAACAGAAGAAAAGAACTAATGAAATGGAAGCAAACAAGCTATCAGATACACAATTCAAAACAATGGTTATAAGGATGCTTAAGGAACTTAAAGAGAACTTTAAGGAATTTAGTGAGGACTTCAAGAACCTTAGTGAGAATGTCAATGACATAAAAAAGGAGCAGTTAGAAATGATGGATACACGAACTGAAATGAAGAATAATTTACAGGAATCAACATTAGAGTAGAGGATGCCAAAAATCAAATCAGCGATTTGGAATTTAAAGAAACAAAAAGCACCCAATCAGAACTGCAAGAAGAAAAAGAATTCAAAAATATGAAGGTAGTATAAGGAGCCTCTGGGACAACCTCAAGTGTACCAACATTTGCATAGTGGTGGTGCTGGAAGGAGAAGATAAATTAAAAACCTACTTGAAAAAATAATGACAGAAAACTTCCCCTACCTGGTGAAAGAAATAGACATGCAAGTCCGAGGAAGCACAGAGAGTCCCAAACAAGAGGAACCCAAAGAGGCCTACACCAAGACACATCATAATTAAAAGACCAAAAGGTTAAAGACAAAGAGAATCTTAAAAGCAGCAAGAGAAAAGCCTCCTGTTACCTACAAGGGAGCGCCCATACGACTTTCAGCTGATTTCTCAACAGAAACGTTGCAGGCCAGAAGGGATTGGCAAGCAATAGTCAAAGTGATGAAAAGCAAGGATCTACAACCAAGATTACTCTACCCAGCAAAGCTATTATTTAGAATTGAAGGTCAGATAAAGAGCTTCACAGACAAGAAAAAGCTAAAGGAGTTTATCACCACCAAACTAGTATTACATGACATGTTGAAGGGTATTCTTTAAGAAGAGGAGGAGGAGGAGGAGGAAGAGGAGGAGGAGGAGAAAGATTAAAATATGAACACTAGCAGAGAGGTGTGGACAAGGAGCCCAGAAGGCTGGTGAGCGTTGAGCCCTGGCAAAGGTCAGAGCTATGCACCCACTGTTTAGTCCAGACCATGGTAACTGAAGCAACTTCCCCACCAGATAGTCATGTAAATAAATCCTTACTGATAAGATAGTCTGTCTGTTACTGGAAATTGCCTGCCTAAGGGCTATAGGTGTATCCCAAACTAAATAAAACTATGGCAAGGCCTGAGCAAAAGTGGAGTCCATCCTCTTGGGATGGGCTCTCACCTGGCCCCCCAGTTTCCAAATTATTATTTCTTGTCTCGTCTCTTTCATTTGTGTGCGGCCCCTCTTCCAGAGCCCGAACCCTGAACCACACGGGACATGGGACAGTCACAAAAATCAATGTAAACAAACAAGGAATCTAATAAACAAAGAAAAGACTGACAAATCTCAGAAGGAAGGGGGTAGAGGGAAATGAAAGAGATTAAGCAAAGAACTTATATGCATACTAGAGGCCCGGTGCATGAAATTTGTGCATGGGCAGGGTCCCTAGGCCTAGCTGGACATCAGGGCCAATCTGTGGGCCAACTAGCAGGGTGATCAGGGACCCCCGCTGGCACTTGCCTTGGAGGCGACTGGCGGGGAGATTGGGGCAGCGAGCTGCCCGCTCACTGGCTGGCCCCACCCCCGATTGCCCTGCTGCCACCGCTGGTTGCCTCCCTTTGTGAGGTGACTGGCAAGGTGATGGGGGGTTGGGGCGGGCGCTGGCCTGGGGCCTGTGGGCTGGTGGCAGCTCCTGCATTGACCATCTTCCCCCTGGTGGTCAGTGTGTGTCATAGCGACTGGTTGTTGTACCATTTGGTTGATTTGCATATTAGGCTTTTATTATATAGGTTATGCATTACCCATGGACCCAGACAATAAATAGGGTGGTGAAGGTCTGGGGTGGTGCAGGATTCTGTTGGAGGAGGGCAATGGTGTGGGGGGAGAGGACATCTGTAATACTCTCAACAATAAAGTTAAAAATAAGAAAAAAGGAAAGAAAGGAAGGAAGAAAGGAAGGAAGGAAGGAAGGCAGAAAGAAAGAAAGAAAGAAAGAAAGAAAGAAAGAAAGAAAGAAAGAAAGAAAGAAAGAAAGAAAGAAAGAAAGAAGGAATTTTTGTACCTTGAGAAAAAAAAAGATAAACAGGAACATCTGACAGGAAGATGAGTTGTCACTGTGCTGTACAGAATTATCACATGGCTTCCCGAGCCCATTCACTGCTGGGTGGTCTCTGTTGTTTGTTGAAGACCTGGGTGTTGCTGAAATGGGATGCTCTCTTCCACGGCCCTAATCATGACACACTCTCCACAACGTGAACCCTCTGTCCTGTGAAGCACAGGGTTATGATAAGAGCGTTTGCTTTACTGTCACCAGTTTGGGGAAGTATGATTTGCTGAATTGTCTCGTCCACTCCTTATTACATCCTCTGATGTAGATATTTTTATTTCCATTTTGTAAATGGAGAAGCTGAAACTCAAATGAATGTAATAATTTGCCAATGTCTCCCACATAATAAGCCAAGATGAGAACATTTGTCTCTCTGATGCCAAGCCCCTGATCAGCCTGGTGGCCAGCTATAGGGAGCACCCATGGAGAGTGCTCTGTGGGTCAGCATTGCTGCTGCGGGTAAAACACAGGGGTGGCCACCACAAGGTAAGATCACTGTTAGGGTCGGCTCCCCTGGCATGGAGCAGCCCAGGGACGCGTTCCCTTTGTTCAGCATCTACGCTCACTGGCTTTGTTTGAGGTGCTGATACTTCGCCATCACAGTGCCGGGTGCCCAGAGCCCTTTCCTCCCGGCGAATGGTCCATGACTCTTTCTGGTATCGCATTTTCGTCACTATGAGAGACCGTGGTAGCGGGAAAATCATCACTGCTCAACTAGAGAAACTAGGAGCGTGTGAGCACCAGGGCCGAGTGTGGCCGGAGCAGTGGCGGGGCCAGCAGATGCCGCCCCAGGATGATCTTCATAAACGGACATCTTTGAGCCTTTGGGCCTTTGTATTAAAGTCCCTCGAACATTTTTAAATAGAAATATAAATTCTGGCTTTTCTTTTTTTTAAAGTAGCTGTTAGGGTTGCAAAGTTGAAGCTTCAGCTTCCTCTCCAGCATTAGGCCTGGCAGGCCCTCTGCCCACACTCCAGGTACCGTCTCCAGTGCCTGCACCCGTGCTCCCCACGGGACAGCACACTGCCAAGCCTACAGCAGATGTCACCAGGAAGGCGGTCGCTATTCTCCCTTAAGAAAGCGATGCCCCTCCAAGCATCAGCCTCCATGGTCTTGCCCCACAATCCTGTTATGAAACTGAGACAAGAGTGGAGAATTTCCAACTGTGCCTGGAACAGACTTTCATTTTGTCTGGGTAATTATAAGTAGGATGGGCGAGGGGGCGGGAAAAAAGGAGACCCAGACCAGATGGACAGGCTTTAAGAAAGGATTGGGGACTCCATGGTCCCTGGTTGCTGTGTAACAGGCAGCAGGCAGAACAGGTGTCCTCCTTCATCTTCCTCCTGTGCTTTCTCTCCTGAAGCCAGTTGCCCGGGTGGGCGTCCCCGTCCCTACACCAACCCACGTGAAGCCATCGTGGGGGAAAGATAAAATAGCAGGAGGGGGAAGAAAGAAGAAAGGAAATAGCAGGGGGAATGTACCAAGCAGGTGCCCTTGAATCTTTTAGCTCCTCACTCACATTTTACCAAGGCGGTTTGAGGTCGTGTGGCTTCCAACTCCAGGAGCCCAGGAGGGATGCGTATAAAGTAAACTGACAGCTTACGTGGAGGGATAGAGGGTGGGTGACCTGGTCAGGGAGCAGAAAAGGCTCTGGATAGAGGCACAGCTAGAACAGGCTGCATGCCACCGCCATCCTCTGGACTGTAACTGCCTCTGGGCCACGCACACTCCAAATTCTGTCTTGTTATTTCAACCTCAGTGAATAAGAAGGCTGGGATTTTTTTCAGGATGTTGGCTTCCTTTTATTTGGGGGGCAGAGGGGATGGATATATCTTTCTTAGAGTGAGCTCAATAAATATAAATTAGACATAGAATCACCTTATTTCAAAAGGATTTAGAATAGAATCAATTTAGACCAAATTTAATTAATGAAACATAATTTATAAGAACATCTTAATTTTATATTGCGAGGTACATGTACAGGCTGTTGCGTTTATTTAGAAGCAGTCTTTTTCACGTGTGTGTTTTGGTGGAGAAGAGCAAAAAGACAGTGGAACATTATGTTTTCTTGCTTGGAGGCGACACAGACACAGGAGGACACATGAACAATAGGGTGTCGTCATGTGGACTCCCTCAGCTATGAGATGGCTGTTGTTTCTCAGCAATAAGCCCCCTTTGATAGAGCTTAAGATGTTTATAATCTTTTGCAATTACAAACCATGCTACATTGAGTAACTTTATACATATGTCCTTCCCCACATGTAGGGATTTATGTGAAGAAGGATTTCCTAGAAGAATTGGGTAAATCCTGTGTGAATTTGTTATTTTGCCAGAAATTACCAAACTACAGGCAAATGGGGACCCGTGCCCCCCCAAAAAAAAACATCATCAAGAAGTCTGCTCAGAAAGAGAAAACAAAAGATTTCAGCATGTTTTTCTGCCTTGTATTGACATTGTCATAAAGGGCTCATAAAAATCCTAGTATTTGTTTATTTCACCTACAACCGCCACTGGAAGTACCACCAGGGCATAGAGAAAACTTAGTGGGCCACAGGTTTCCTTTTTTCATTCAGTCAGTAAGTATGTGTGTAGTAAGGCACAAGCCAGGCACTTGGGGGTCACACTCATGACAAGACATGGTGTCGGCCTTCACAGTCCTTAGGCCTGGTCAGGTGACTTAAGAACTGGAATCCAGAAATAAGCCCATGCTCTGGCTCTATTATCCTATATAATAAAAGCCTACTCTGCTAAGGGTCCGACCATTCGACCAATCACTGTGACACGCACTGACCACCAGGGGGCAGATGCTCCGACCGGTAAGTTAGCTTGCTGCTAGGCCAATGGGGACTGGGTGAGATGGGCCGGACATGCCCTGGAGGCCTCCCACAGTCCCTCCCTGGCCCTGATTGTGCACTGGTGGGGGTCCCTCAGCCTGGCCAGCACCCTCTCAAAATCTGGGACCCCTCAGGGGTTGTCAGAGAGCCGGTTTTGGCCCATCCCCACAGGCCAGGCCGAGGGACCCCACCGGTGCACAACCCATGCACCAGGCCTCTAGTCCTATCTAATAAAGAGGTAACATGCAGATTGACCATCACTACAACACACAAGATGGTGCCCCCATGTGGACACAAGATGGCCACCACAAGATGGCTGGCAGGGAAGGGTAGTTGGGGGGAACCAGGCCTGCAGGGTAGGGCAGTTGGGGGGACCCAGGCCTGCAAGGGAGGGCAGTTGGGGGACCCAGGCCTGCAGGGAAGGGCA